GCCAGCATCTGCCCCTCCCTGGAACAGGTAGCCCCCGTCTCCCATGTGCTCTGGGGCAGCACCCCCCCAGTGGCCAGGATGTGCACACAAACCCCGGGTCTGATCTGGGAGGTCTAGGTGGAGCCTGAGACTCTGCATTTCTAACCAACCCCCAGGGGCTGCCGATACTGTTGGTCTATGGGCCACACTTCCCGTGGCAAGGCACCAGCAAGGGAGCGCCGCAAGGATGTGCAAACGCCTTCATGAAGGCCCTGGGCCCGGCTCTCCCTCCTTCTATGAGCCTCCGAGGCAGGAACAGCAGAGAAAACCAAGATCCAACAAGTTCAAGAGACTTACCCAGGATGCCCAGCTGGTAGGTGGCCAAGATGTGATGCCAGGCAGCCCCTCTGCCCATTTTTTTCAGGGCTCCAGGGACTGGTCCAGAGACAGTTGTGATGTTTTCCTTTATCCAGCACATTCTATGGGCCCAGATTTTGCATTCACAATCTCAAATCCTCACAACCTGAAAAAGGAAGATTGCTAGCTCCATTTTACGTAGGAGGAAACTGAGGCTCAGAAAGTTTAAGGAATTCACCAAGCGTCAGCAGTGGGTGAGGGCAGAGCCCCATGTGAGCCCCAGTCTCCTGCTCGAAAACTTCTACTCCAGGCATCCCACCTCCCTGCCTCTCAAATCCTCCTGCTCATGTATTCACTCAACAAATAACTGGTTTAACAGAGCACCCTGAGACCCTGGTTAAGGACGTGGGGTCTGTGATCCACTGGCCTGGATTCGGGGCCACAGTTCCCCCCACCCCTCCACAGCAGCTGTGCCACCTACAGAGTTCCACTCAACCTCCCTGGGACTCGGTTTCCTCAACTGTCAAGTGGGGACAACAGCATTCCCTACGCTGTCCACCTGGTGGGAGGCAGCCTGCAGTAACCCCGGGCAATACCTGGCATGCGGCCAAATCTGATTAACACCCATGCTTGTTGTAAATGTGCAACAATCCCAATGCTCAGATTCTAGGCAGGGGAGACAGTCAACTCGCAAACCAAAAAACAGGAATTTGCTAAATGACCGAGCGTCCAGTGTTAGGGCTCCAAGAAGGTGGGGCGCTGGGATCATCAGGGAGAGCAGCATGGCATTGTTGTCTGAGCCCCTGTCCAGGCGGGGTCTGTGGCCGCATCTGCTCATGCCATGGGGCTGGGCGCTCCGGGGGGCTCCTGCTCTGTGGACGAGCGACAGCTCCTGTTGTGAATGTACTCCATCCCCATCACCAGCAAGCCCGGCCGCAGCCTGCAGGGACACCTGCGTGCCCAGACCCTCTCCAGGCGAGGGTCAGCATGGAATGTCAGGGCCCTGGTGCAGCTCCTGCTGGACACCTCCTGTTCAGAGGCAGCAACCGCAAGGCCACTGGGAAAGGTGGCCTCCAAGGCTCGCTGGTCCAAACCAAGCAGAGACGCTGGGCAAGAGCATTTCTGAGACACAGGCAGGGATCTGAGTTTCTGGCACGTGTCTGCACAAAGAAACCTCAGCCTTCTTGCTCCTGACATGCAGCTTAAACATATTAGCTGAACCCCGGATGGAATTCCCATGATTCCCCCTCTCCTTCTGAGAGCAGTCCCCGGGGGGGACGAGGAGGAGGTAAACGCATCATGTCCCGTGGGCTTTATTCCCCGAATGACGGCTCTCTCCACCGACAGCTGAAGACTGGATGCTAAGTGGGTCTTCTGGTTTGTTTGGATATATTTTTCTCTTTTCTTTTACCTTTTAACTAAAACACAACACAAAATAAGAGCTCTGATTGCATTCAGCTGTTAGGAAGAAAGTATGCCTCCCACCTCTGCTGGCAGAGATCAAACGTGACTTTCTCAAAAAACAAAAAGTGGAAAGTTTACAAATTCGGGACTCAGGCCCTGCAACAGCGCACCATCTCTCCTACCCACCTGACGCGATTACTGGCAAACAGGCCTCGGCATTTCTGGAAGCCCACATGAAAGATGGTACCCAGTCCACTTTCTAGCCTTCCACCAAAATAAAACAGTAAAGAATCAAGTATAAAAAAAGTATTTAAAAAGTAAAAAATAAAACAATAACAGCCCAGAAAAGAAGCAGCAATAATCTTGTATCAACTGAGGTCCTATCAGCCTGGTTGGCAAATGGAAACAAAAATATTTTAGGCTGAAATTGGTCAAATAGTCTGGTTGAATTCATTTTCTAAATATATATATATATATATATATATATATATAGGAGCAATATATATATATATTGCCCCAAACAAGTTTATTCATATACATGAAGTCTGAAAGTGCTTTTCCTTGCTGGGTTGAAACCTGAAATATTTTCAGCTAAATGAGAAAATGTTCGCTGTTGAACAGCCTAGTAGAGCTGGTCACAAATGTGATTTCTGGAAATAAACAAGATCGTAAGAAGGTTGGCCAGAGCAGAAATGTAAGTCAACATTAGTAGCTGATGTCATTAAATTATCCCTTAAGCCAAAGTGCCAAGTGACACAAATTTTTTCGTGTTAATTCTAATATGATCACCTCCCTGGATCTGCACAAATCTGAAGGGATCTCTCTCCAGAATCACTAATTTTCTTTTCTTCAATGTGCACATATCAGATAGCTCTCTCTGTTCTGTTAGCAGACCAAAGTATTTGGGATATACAAGTCCATATTTTCTCCGTATCAATTTACAAAGTTTCACTTGATACAAATGTGGCTCAATAAACGATAGTTATTTTTTATGGGTTAGTATCTTGCTCAAGAAAATTAGAACTAAGTTTCAGGAAGATTTATTTTCATTTTAACTATTGTTCGCTGGTCACTGCCACTCAATACTTAAATGACTTTCTCCCCAAAGGGCAAAATCTTTAAAGCAGAACAGAATTTATTTAAACAGCTGGGTTTCTTGCACGATCATCGTATTAATACGGAGACTTGCGAGCGGTGAGTAACTTGCACAGTTTGTAAATACATACAAGTAAAAAAGCCAGCACGTCGTTTGATTAAATTTTTAAAGATCAGTACATGATTAATCACTACCAGACACGATAAAGGTGTTATACTATGCTACGTGGACCTATTTCTATGTCCTTAAACAGTGTTTCACATTTGGAGTCAAATGAATTCCTCTACCATCTTTTTATTTTTCAAACACAAATGATAACATCATTTTTAGGAACAAAAGATAAAGCTTCCTGTTGGTGTTGAGCTCCAATTTGTTTCAAGTAGTGTCAATGTGCACACTATTTCTTTTCAAATTAAACAATGTGGCAAATTATTACCTAAAACAAATTAAGGAATCGTGGTGTCTGTCCCATGAAGAACCAAAACACTGAAATCATCCAAATTTGTCTTCATTTTAATTTTAACATTACATAGGTTGAAAAATGTGCTCATCAGATTTGAGGATTCTCTTTAGCGAGAGATGGGGACAGAAAAATGTCTGTCTGTCCTTGAAATAAAGTGGGGACTTTACTCTCAGTGGCCACCACCCTGAGATCACTCGTGGAAGAGGAAGGTTGAGAAGCTCTAAGACTCTGCAAGCACCATTCCAGCAAGTGCTGACAGAATAAAACACAGGGTCCAGGTGGATATTCCCACATGTATTCCTCACATCGAACGGAAAAGCCTTTTTTGAGAAGGTGAGACTCGGATGTATCACTCACTGTACTTGCCTGGTTTTACTCGTCCGTTTGGACGCAAACTTCCTCGCAGGCACACTCTTCATGATTATCGAAAGGGTATCATTTTTCCCCCTTAAACATAAACAGGCAATAGATCAGATCTTGAAATAGCTGCTAAGCTTCTTCCGTCTCTATCTTGAATGTTTCCGGGAACTATTTCTTTGAAGGCTAGCTGGGCGCCGTCTCGGACCGTTTCAGGAGGGCGACGCTTTTGCTAATAAGCATTGGCTTAAATACTTCATATACTCTTTCACAGCTTGGCACGTTTCACGCGAGGCTCAAAAACTTTTTACTTGTTACGTTTATCGCTGACTGGACCCGCTCGGGGAGAGGTGAAGGGGGACCTGCCGGGGGACCTGACCGGATTTCGGATTTCGGGCAGAATCTCAGCCTCTGCCCCACCCCCACCCCAGGGACCACTCCAGAAGTAACATCGCCATCTACTGGGCAGCAGGGGAACCTGCGTAAGAAGGCCAAGCTTTCTGTTCCAGCAATCCAAATAGGAAGCTTGCAAAAGATGTTTGAGTCGCAGAGCGCCACAGCTTCACGGAGGACGGGGACCGGAGACTCGAGGCAGACGCACAGGAAAGTGGCAAAAGCAGACTTTCGGCACAGCTCTGCTGTGCGGCAATTCCAAAAACGCTCTAGCCCACCGCCCTACCCTGCAACCCCCGAACGGAGGAGGTGAAAGTGAGGGCATTGCTATGTTTTATTTCTAAGACTTTTAGATTAGTTATGAGTTTCTGGGGTGAAGGTTTATTTTCCCAGAGGTCAGCGCCCACCTTTTCCTCCCCACACTTCCCCGGGCTGGGGACACACACACACACACACACACACTCACACTCACACACACTCACACCCGCCCTTGGGGTTCTTTAACCTGACATGGCTTCATGAACACAAGAGCTGGGATAACCCAAGTATTATTCTGAACCCTTTTTCTTGGGTACTTAAGCAAAACAACTATCATTTTGAAGTTTATGTAACTTTTCCTTATAAATACAATCACGTTCAGATCATACATCTGTACGATGTCAATTTCTGGATTTTCTTATGCAAATAACCAGCTTGCTTTTCTCCTTCTCCCTGCTCCTAACTGATCACTGGATTTGCCTTGAAATTTGAGAATTAATTGCTTTCTCTTGGTAATTAAAGGCAGGGTATTCTTTTCACGAGAGAACTGCATTGTTGTACAATTGCCCACACTCATTAGAACAGTTTCACAGAAAGAAGTCAGTTGTGGCCTAGAATGTTAACATTTGTTTTTTACTATCCTCCCAACATTTGACAAAGATGTTCAGAAGATTTTCAAAAATAAACCACTTATGTTAAATTAAAAATACAATTAAATTTATGAAGTATCACAATGCACCCATTTTTAAAGAGAAACATTTTTACTGAACCTTATTTTTCTTTATTACACATCATAAAATTTTTTTAAGTGTCCTAGGAGCCTAAAGTCAGGCTTGCTATTGCATTACAGTCAGAAATTACTTCATTTCATACATATATTCATTTCACACATATATATATATATGTGTGTGTGTGTGCGCGTGTGGGTATGACCAATGTATTTACATTTTGTAACTTAATTTCTTACTCAGTCGAGTTCGAAAGATCTGGACATTATAAAGGCAAACTCATTTTCTGCTGGAATGGAATGAGAAAATGAAAATTTAAAAATTCATTTTATTAGGTAAATTCAGGAGGGACTCACTGTTCACCCTGAAATAAACCAGCCTGCTTCTGTTGACTTTCTCCATCTCTCAGAGCCTTAAAATGAAAACTGGAGTCACTGCCGATGGTAAGCACACTCCCCCTCCCCTTCCCATCGATGTCTGTACACGCATGGTAGAGGGTCCTTTCCTAAAAGTCAGCGTGGTGCTGCGGGTGGACCGAGGGGTTCGTGGAGGAGCCCCACAGAAGGTTAACTGGCAGAGAAAGACACTGGAGGCAGGATGCATGGACGGACGGACAGACAGGGTCGGAGCGTCGCTGGAGGAAGACCGGGCAGTACTCACGATTTCCAGTGCCTGCTGCAGTCTCTCTCCCGGTCCCGGTTCCAAAAGGAAATGTGGCTCTTTCGTGCAGAACCAGAAACGAACATCCAGGAAGTTGGCAAAAGCACTAGCTAAACAATCAATAGAGGAAACACAACAAAATAAATTGCCAAATCTGGGGTTTTTTTTCCTCCAATAAAGGAAAAGAAAAAGAGTAAACAGGAGGGTGCCGGGAAAGGGCCTATTTTATTTTCCCCTGTGAGACGGAGCCGGGCCCCCAGTGGGCCTAAGTGTGGATCTGGGTACTTGTTCTCCTGCACCCATGTAAGGGAGAGGACCACCGGCTGACTGAGCGCTCGGGCTCACTGCAGACCCCAAGACTCTGCTCAAGTTGTCCGAGTTCCTGCCGCAGATCTGAAATGAGTTTTCCTATGAAAATACACTTAAAACTCAGCGACCCCCACCCCTCGCGAATGCCTTCAGTGACAGGAAATGTTAACCATTTTAAGCGCTTTTTGTTTGCATTTGCTCAAGGCTGAAGGAGTGAGGAAGAAATGTCCTCTTAATGGTCGCTGGCGATGGGGATGGAGGGGTGAGCCGGGACGTGTGTTTCTGGACACGGGGCGAGCATCCTGGGTCCTGAGTGGGCCCCAGGCAGCAGTGACTTCGCCTTGAGTTCCCACAGAAGGAGGAGAGGGTTTGTTGCGGTGCTGCAGTGAGTCGTATTCCAAATTCCCCTGTGTTGTTGATAAATGAGAAGGCAGTGCCCTCCCACCCTCCAGCCGGGGAGGGTAAAGGAAAGGGCCCCTCTCGCAATGTTTGTGGTGCCGAGATGTGTTTGTGTGAGTGTTTTCTCCCTGGGATCAAAGAGGGGGGGGAAGAGATTTTTTTCCCCCAAATCAACTAAACACTACAGCTCAAAAACACAAGCAATGTGTACAACATTGTCCTTTGGAAATCCATCTTGAATTTTTTTTAAAGTCCCCTCTTTGATCAAAAGCCGACAGAGAATTACATTTTTCTCCATTCTGTTGCATTTAACATGGACTCACCCGGGGTGAGTTTAAACAAGCAGATGGCCCAAGCATGAATGCTCCTTTCAGTCTGAGCAGTCGAGGTGGGCTGGTCCGAGGGGGGCGGGGAACTGCAGTGCGGATTAAGTACAGAGAAGGGGCAAACGCTGCCACATTTTGGGGGCAGTTAAGACAAGAAGAAACCCATGCTGACAACCATGTATATGCTACCTCCGCACGCTGGGCACAGGGTAACAGTCAGTCCTTCTGCAGGAAGGCAAACAGCCTGCTTCATTCAAGGGTGTCAAGTAGGGAAAACAAAGCAAAACAAAAGCCCTTCAAAGTGTATTTCAGGAGATGAGCGAGTGCCCAGCGAGGGCCCAGCAACCGCCCCCCCACCCCCACCCCAGGAAATCCTGCGCTGGAGCCCTGCTCTAGGTGCCTGGAGAGGGAACGGGAAACTGAGAAGGGCCAGTCCCGGTTGAGGCGCTTCAAGGGGTGGGCGTGAGCCAGGCCCACTCTCTCCAAGCCCCGTCAGAACAGCAGCTGTGGCCGCCCGTGTGTGGACTTTGAGCCACCAGCTCACGGCCAGTAGGAACCAGGATGCACACAGCTGGGGCGCACATGGACACTCTTGATGTCACTGCTGAGAGCCACGCCATCGTGTCTCCCCTGTGTCGAAGAGCAGAGGCGCTGGCTGATGCCTGTCTCTGTGCAGGTGCTCCCCCTGACCTCAGAGACCTTCCAGATGGCTCCCCCACAAGGGCACAGAGCACGCAGAAGAGGGACAGACTGCCTCACCACTGCCCACGTACCAGGTGTTACAAGAAGTCCCCAGATCCCAGCCCATTGTTTGGATGAGGTCTGTGAGCGGGCATCAGGGCCAGGTCGGGGTAAGATGGTCCAAGACAGCTTTTCCACTTTCCCTTGTACTGCAGGCATGACAAGCATCACCTCCCCTCTGTGCCCCCTCTCCTCTGGGCTCAAGGTGGGCGGCTGGGAAGAAGGGAAGAAAGTTACAGGGCATACGGAGTAATTTATTAGCCATCGAGCATGCCCTCGAGAGTGCAGTTAAAGGCCATGTGTTTACTGGAAGCTCGAACCAGAGAAGAGGAGCTGGGACACTGCAGACGCCGACAAGGCTGGGCTGCTGTGAGTGCGTTCTGGGGCCTCTGGCCCAAGGACCCCACAACCCAGGGCCGCCCCACCCTGGCACCTCTCACGGCTGTGTCTCCATTCCCCAGGCTGCCGAGCTGACCTGTGTCCCCGAGCTCGTGTGCTCAGATTCCAGCTCTCCCAGCACATCGGGACTGATGCGGTCCCAGGCCCGGATCCGGCAGAGTCCTGACAAGCTGGTGAAGGCATGAGAGTCTGCAGGGGGAGAAAGACGAAGAATGTTCTAGAAGGGGACAGAGTCCAGACCCTGGTCAGAACGCAAGCAGCACCCACTTCCTCTTCTACTGGTCTTTCTCTGAAACACAGACAATAAACCAGGGGCAGGAGGACTGCATGTGTAAAAACAGCGTGGAGACTGTACACGTGGGCATAAACACACTCCTTCTATTTGTCACCCATTTACTTAAGTCCCAGACTATTTCTTCTTACTAAAGCCTTTTTTTTTTTTACACAGTTTTATCCCCTACTCTCACGAGCTTCCCTCCTTAATGCAAATGAAGGTATTTCCCACAGCCCTGGTGCTGGAATGTTCTAAAACGCTAACATCGACACATTTCTACTTCATTTTATTGCAGAACGTTATTTTATGGCACAGAGTGTGTGGTGTGCGTGAAGAGTAGGCAAAGGAGGGGTTCCCCTGCAGAGGGGAGCTGCCCGCAGTGGCGCTGCCTCATATAAATCCCAAAAAGTGACAGTCAAGCTGGCAGGAGAATTTGGGAAACCAACAGACAAAATACACAGTGCAGCCCGTGGGCCTCACCTTTACAAGGCAGAGAGAGCTTCTGGAATGGGCGGGCCGGGACCTCCGGGGCTGCTCATTAGGCAGTTGATGAATTGGACAGGGGGCCCACTGCCCTCCTGGGGCAGCGAAATGCTCGAAAACCGAGTTTTATTAACCTAATAAAATGAAAAGAAAAAAAAAAGTCAGGGAAATTTCAGCTGGAAGAATAAATGCAGGAAGCATAGTAAGTTAACCTACTTTTAATATATCTGGAACGATTCTGGCGGACAAAAAGCCATTCCCACAAAGACCCCGCGTTCCTGATGCTGGATTTCAATGGACTGGCCAGCAGCGAGCCACAGCGGTCTAGAGACGCCCAGCAATGCCCTGTCTTCACGTTCTTAGGAATGAATTATAAATTGGTCCTTTTTCATCTTATCTGACGCCAAAGCCAGGGCGTGCTAGCAGGAAAAATTGCAAAGGGAGGTCTTTGAGGCAAAGCGGGCTTCTTGAAAATGAAGCAGACGCTCCCCGACCCTGGCTGGGACAGGAATGTCATCAGCACCCAGGAATCTGAGCGCGCCCACCTCGTGGAGCAGAAACATGAGAATTAGAGCAAATAAGTCCAGCGCATGCAGACGTGACAAGGTGTCCGTTCTTCACAAATACCTTCAGGGAGCCTCGACTTTAGAAGTGGGAGCTGGGAGGGTCTAGCTTAGGAAGAGGCCAGCGCCAGGCGAGGCTCCCCACCTACCCCGGACGACACGTGCGAAGCAGCAAGTGGCCAGGTCAGTCGGCCACTGCCATGCGGACCTGAGAATATGCCTTGTCCGGCCGGGGCACTTGACCTGGCCCCCCACTCACTCCACCTGAACCTCCAGAAGGCAAGAGAGCTTTCTTATCTCTGGATCCCAGAGGCAAAGGCTGCTAGTGGTTCTGGCTCAGGCAGTGCCGGCCCACGGGAGGGAGGACATGTCAACCCCAGACCTGTCAGCAAGAACACGCCACGGAGGTAAAGCTGCCTCCTGCCAGACCCCCGATTAGGTGCACACCAGCTCAGGGCTGGCCTCGTGGGGCAACGTGTGCACAGAATCACCCCAAAATACCCTCCTAAATCCAGAAGGGAGGTATAGCCCTACTCAGTGGGCAACTCACACTCCCCATGGCCATGCCGTTCTGTTTTAATATAAAATATGTGTACGCGCTAACATTACATATGCATACGCACACCCATGTGACCCTCACTCCTCCCGGAGCCACGTTCCAGCCCCTGGTGGCTCTCCCGTTCCTTGGGAATCTACGAAGCTCTAAAAGTGAGGACAGCTCTGTTCCCTTAAAAGTTGCTTTCACATTTCCTCCCCGTAGGGGATTCTGGGGGCAGTTAGACCATCCTGTGTGATCCTGTGATGGTTCGTACGTGACGTCGCACATTCGACAAGATGTGCAGAATGTCCCCCACCACAGTGACCCTCATGGGAACTATGGGCTTTACCCGACCACGATGTGTCCATGTGGTACCAAGCGTGCTGCGAGGATGCACGATGTCGTGACCCCGAAAACTGACGTGGGGGCAGGACGGAGATGAGGACTGGGCTTGCCACTGGATTTTTCTGTAGACCTAAAACCACTCTAAAACCTGCAGTCCACTAAGAAAAGAACCTCCTTGTTGAAGTGACAGAAGGAATTTCCCTTCGCCTGCTCTCTTCCCGTTTGGTATTTCCTGGGACAGGATTTTCAGAAAGTAGAAAAGTTCAGAACAAAACAAAACAATCCCACCAATGCACAGCTATTTCGGCTGCCCGCTCGGGGCCCTTCTGGGTGGGGTCCAGTCTCCAGGACGTTTTCCCAGGCAGGTTTCAGCAGACCAGGGAACAGCCAGGCTAACTTCAACGGTGTCCCATTTATCTTTTATTTTTACACTAACATCCATTGTGCTGAGTGTACTGACAGGATCACTATAAATAAACCAAAATCCTGCTTTCCATTTGCAGTTGGTTAGATCCAATTTACAACCAAATGTCAGCCTGTCGACCGGGATTACCAGAAGGACTCTGCCCCTGCCCGCAGAGGCGAGAGCGCAGGCTGTGCCCCCTGCAAGTCCATAAACCTGGCACAGATCAGGGAGGAGGAAACCACCTTGGGGCGTAGACTCCAAGGGGACAGCTGGCCTGGGGGGCCTCCTGCCTCAACAGGGCCTCCCTGCCAACCCTTGCTGAAAAGACGGGCCCGCTGCCGGGCGAGACGGACAGACACAGAGAGGGAGAGAGACAGAGGAAAACGGAGAGGGGCTGGCCGTGCACCTGGTGTGCTCGCGGGAGCTGCTACGTGCAGCCTTGGCCACTGGGAACATGGACGCAGCGCCCCCCCCACCCCACACCAGCTGGCCCCTGCGGTGGTGGCTCCTCCTGCAGCAGCCGTGGGGACGCCACCAGGTGGCGACGGGACAAACTCAGGTTCTGCGCAGGAGCTTTTTATGGGGGTGGCCCCAGGATCTCAAATACCAAGCACAGAGGGAGACACCACGAGTCTGTCCTGGCCGCCAGTTTCGGGTCTGTGTGGTCCCACCACGCCATCTGAACTCCAGCATGGGGAACACATCCCATATCTGACACCCCACAGAAGGGGGCTCAGACGACCCAGCAATGTGAATCGGAGCCTATCTCCTGCCCCTGCTAGCTCGGACAGGGGCAGCGTTTCCAAACATCTGGCCCCGTCCCCCACCCTTAAAATTATACCTATTCCATGGGACTAGGAGGGCAGAGGTGTAGAGGACATCTAACAGAAGAGACATGCTCCCCCAAAAAGAGCCTCGTGATTATTCACTCTTCAGACAAGACAGGCAGGACAAAGCCATGTCCGGGCACCCCGTCCCTCCCTCCCCACCCTTCCTCAGAGTGATTTTCTAGACTGAGCCACAGACATCTTTATGGTACTTCTTAACTGACGGTTGGCACTGAAAAGGAAACTTCAGCTGGTACTGACCATAAACAAGTAGTCGTTGTCAGAGCCGATGTTTAGGGGGGCTTCCCCGGGCCCCGGCCCCTTTCACGGATCAGAAGGCTGAGTGCACTGCTAGGAAGTGCACACAGGCCGGCCCGTCTCTACCTGCCTCCTGTAAACGGCCACCTCGGGGCTGCCTCCTGCTAAGGAACCCCAGAGCCGAGACAGCACACTTCTTCACCAGAACTGGGCTAGGAACAGGAAGGCCAAGGGGAGGTACTGGACCCGGAGGTGAGGGATAAGTAAGCTCAACGGCCCCAAACCCCGTGAGGCTGCTCTCCCGCGTGAGCGCCAGGTGCAGGGACACACCAGCCCAGAGGACAGACCGCCTTGGGAGCCGTCTCCCAGAGCTGCCCTCTCGCACGGAGCCTCGAGGAGAGAGCGAACGGGAAGTGCCCCAGAACCACAGAGCAGCGGGGTCAGCTCACAGACCTCAAGTCAGAATGCTTCTGATCTTTTCTGCTTGCTGGGGTGTTGCTGCTTGGCCTGGAGGAGCTTCAGCCTTTCTGTCTGCAAACGGGATCATAACTAACACCTGGGCTCCGGGGCTTGTGTGACTCCGAGCAGAGAGGAGCCACCCGGCCAAGGCCATGTCCTCAGCAACAAGCACAGCTCCCGCCCTGGGCTCTCGAGATGCCCTCCCCGGCCTGGCCCTGCCCCAGGACCCCAAAGGGCTTTCATCCTGACAGCACAGCACACGGTCTCTTCAGTGGGAAAATGAGCATAAGAAAACATGTGCAAAACTGTGTAAAATAGCCAGATGCTGACCCAGAGCCTAGAAAGAAATACACCAAAACGTCCAAGCTTGCCTGGGTGATGCTGTTTTGGTGGTAAGATTACTGATAACTCTTTTCCCTTCTCCAATGTTCAGTGTTCTTACTACTTCCGTAAGAAAGAGGCAAAATTGCAAAGGGCAAGGAAATATAAATCGGAGGTGAATAGATGTTTTTTGCTCCTGACCCACACTCATCTCCCAAGTTCTTGGTGACGAAGAGGTCCCACAGTCACGTAAGCCTTGCTGGGGCCCGAGCCTGGCCCCTCTGGAAGGGCCCCCTCTGTTCCTGCAGCCCTTCCTCTGCCGCGCCCAGGACAGGAGCTTCTAGGTTTGCAGGGGGCCTGCGAGGCCTGCTGGGCAACTCCCCGGCTTACCCTGGCTGTGGCGCCTATGAACTCTCCACCACAGCCAGGACCCCGTCCACCGTGCCCCGCCGTTGGAACATCCCTGTGGCGCCTATGAACTCTCCACCACAGCCAGGACCCCGTCCACCGTGCCCCGCCGTTGGAACATCCCTGTTTTTCCACACCTTCTCTTTCGCCATTACCAAGGGCAAGGCAATTGGTATGCTTGCACACAAAGTAGCCTTGCTTTGCAGATCAGCACACAGGGAAGGATAAAATCCAAACTCCACGCCACTCTCCAGCTCAGGCTGCAGCCAGAGCCGGGTGGGCCTGGGGTTCTCTGTGGTTTCGCTTTGTCTTGCGTGTCTTGGGTTGTGAGGATGAAAAGCAGCGACGCTGGCAGGCAGTGCAGCAGGCCTGGCCTCCTCGCCTTCGGTCCCTCTCCACGCAGGTCAAGACTAAAAATAGCTACCACCCCAAACAAACAAAAAGCACAACAAACAACATTCCAGCATTGAAAGGGAAGTCACAGATGGAGAACCCCAGGTCCAGAAATCCATGATGTGGCGTAGAGGGGGTCGTGTCCAAGGTGCAGAGCGCAACGGAAGGCCCCAGCTGCCGGAGGAGCCAGGACTGCGCCCCTCCACGGCCATCCACCTGCACCGTCACAGAAGGCCCGGGACAGGGCTGGCCCTCCCAGGTAGGTGCGAGCCAACCAGAGGAGACGCCAGGCCCTGGCTGTCAGAACAGAGGCGCGGGACCGGCACAGAATCGAATTTTCTTCTTGCCCAGTGAACCCTTCCCCCCCAGATTATCAGCCAAGTAATTGTGATCGACAATAAAGATCTTTTCCCTACCTGAACTTGGGTTATTCTCCTTTCTTCTTATAGGGGTATTTCTCTGCCTCTCCCCCAACCTGGAATATTTTCGTTTGCTCCCCACTCCCCTTGTTGGCCGAGAATCCGCGCACACTCTACCCTGGCCATTCCAACCCACCTGCAGGCTGAGGGCTTCTTGTTTTCAGAACTCCTCAGCACCCTGCCGACTGACTCC